AAAGAATATGCAATGTGTCTGTCTTTAAGTACACTGAAGCCTAGCATTGAATAATGTCATGATTTCTATATCTCTCTTTTGAACTTACACATACTAAACTATTCCTCCAGCCATTTTTTATTTTTAAAATTACCTGCTTATCAAAATAAAATATGCTCATTGATTATATATTTTAAGAGAAAAGTGTAAAAAAATTGTTCTGAAAAACACCTAAGATAACTATTACTGTTAACATTTTGGCATATTTTACATTTTCTTTTTCATTTTCCCATTTTTTAAAGAAGTTACTGCTGCATTTATAACTTGGGTCTTCTACTTTATCAATGTATAATTTACTTTTATATTATCTCTCCTGGGAAATTTAGGGATTTTTTTAAGGTTTTATTTATTTTTGGGAGAAAGAGAGAGCATGCATGAGCCAGGGAGAGGGGCAGAGGGAGAAGCAGACTCCCTGCTGAGCAGGGGGCCCACTGTGGGACTTGATTCCAAGACCCTGGGATTATGACCTAAGCCAAAGGCAGATGCTTAATAACTGACTGAGCCACTAGGTGCCCTCTCCTGGGAAATTTAAGTGGTTTAATTTCACTGCATTAGTGTATTGTTTAAGCCATTATTAAATTAGCATCACATTTAAACAGTTGATTTGATAAACAGTCATTACCTTTTAATGATAATTAGAAAAGTATATTAAAGTCCTGTATAGTCACCAGGATATACTGGGTTATTGGTCAATAGTAAATGCTAGGGTGTGCCACCTATATTTTCCCTAACTTCAGATTAAGGGCCCTTATTTCCTCAGTTGCCACAGTGTCACCTGCTGCCAGTTCACAACTGAATCCCTCCCCTAGAACTATCACCAGCACAAGGGAATGGCTTTATCCTGGCTTGAAAATCTTCCCCGGTTTCTTATCTATACATGGATACTAAGCCCCAGCCCTTCTGTTGCAATTCCCAACTCCCAGGGCCACCCAGTTGCAGCACTCTCCATAACACTGCAGTATGTGTACCAGATTCTGCTTCCCTCATCCTCTTCTTCACAGGATGTTTTATTCCATTATGGCTGTTATAACAAATACTATAGGAATTTATACTATAGGCTGGGAATTCCCAGATCAAGGCACCAGCAGATGTGGTGTCAGATGAGGGCCCTCTTCAGTCTGTAACTTCACTTGGCAGGGATGAAGGAACTCTCTGGGATTTTTTTTTTTTTTGGGGGGGGGTCTATGATATACTTTCTTTTTTATTATGATTAACATATAATGTATTATTTGTTTCAGGGGTACAGGTCTGTGATTCATCACTCTTACACAATACACAGTGTTCCCCACAACATCTGCCTTTCCAACGTCCATCACTCAGTCATCCTATCCCATTCCCCCTCCACTCCAGCAACCCTCAGTTTGCTTCCTGAGATTAAGGGTCTTTATGGCTTGTCTCCCTCTCTGGTTTTGTCTTGCTTCATTTTTCCCTCTTTACCTATGATCCTCTGCCTTGCTTCTCAAATTCTTGCTAATGGAATGAAGACAGACATACTGACTAGATATGATATGATATGATATGATATATTGTTTTTCTCTGATTGACTTATTTCATTTAGCATAATACCCTCTAGTTCCATCCATGTCATTGCAAATGGCAAGTTTCATTTTTTGATGGCTGTGTAATATTCCAATGTGTGTGTGTGTATGTATGTGTATACATACATATATATATATATGTATACACATACATACACACATACACACACACCACATCTTCTTTATCCATTCATCTGTTGATGGATATCTGGGTTCTTTCCATAGTTTGGCTATTGCGAATATTGCTGGTATAAACATTGGGGTGCAGGTGTCCCTTCGGATCACTACATTTGTATCTTGAAGGTAAATGCCCAGTAGTGTGATTGCTGGGTCATAGGGTAGCTCTATTTTCAACTTTTTGAGGAACCTCTATACTGTTTTCCAGAGTGGCTACACCAGCTTGCATTCTCACCAACAGTATAGGAAGGTTCCCCTTTCTGCACATCCTCACCAATATCTGTCATTTCCTGACTGGTTAATTTTAGCCATTCTGACTGGTGTAGGGTGGTATCTCACAGAAATGAAATTAATGATCCTATAATTTATATGGAACCAGAAAAGACCCTAAAAAGCCAGAGGAATGTTGAAAAAGAAAACCAATTCTGTTGGCATCACAATTCCAGCTATATTAGAAAGCTGCAGTCATCAAGACAAGTATGGTACTGGCACAAAAACAGACACATAGATCAATGGAAGAGAATAGACAACCCAGAAAAGGACCTTCAACTCTATGGCTAACTAATCTTCAACAAAGCAAGAAAAGAATATCTAATGGAAAAAAAGACATCCTCTTCAACAAATGGTGTTGGGAAAATAGGATAGCCACATGCAGAAGAATGGAACTGGACCACTTCCTTACACCATAAACAAAAATAGATTCAAGGTGGATGAAAGACCTCAATGTGAGAGAGGAATCCATCAAAATCCTTGAGGAGAACACAGGTAGCAACCTCTTTGACCTCAGCCACAGCAATTTCTTCCTAGACACATTGCCAAAGGCAAGGGAAACAAGGGAAAAAATGAACTACTAGGACTTCATCAAGATCAAAAGCTTTTTTTTTTTTTTAAGATTTTATTTATTTATTTGACAGAGATCATAAGTAGGCAGAAAAGAGGTGGGGAAGCAGGCTCCCTGCTGAGCAGAAAGCTCAATGCAGGGCTCGATCCCAGGATCCTGAAATCTTGATCTGAGCCAAAGGCAGAGGCTTAACCCACTGAGCCACCCAGTGCCCCAAAATCAAAAGCTTTTGTACAGCAAATGAAACAGTCAACAAAATCAAAACACAACCTACAGAATGGGAGATGATGCTTGGAAATGACATATCAGATAAAGGGCCCATATCCAAAATCTCTAATGAACCCATCAAACTCAACTGACCCAAGCAACAAATAATCTAATCAATAAATGGGCAGAAGACTTGAACAGACATTTTTGCAAAGAAGACATCCAAATGGCCAACAGACACTAGAAAATGTGCTCAACATCACTTGGCATTGGAGAAATACAAATCGAAGCCACAATGAGATACCACCTCACACCAATCTGGGATCTCTTTTACAGGGGTAGTAATCCCAACAATTAGGGGTCTACCCTCATAAAAAACTCACCTTCAAAAATTCCACTTCCTAATACCATCACCTTCAGGGTTAGGATTTCAGTGTATGAATTTAGGGGTCACAAACATTCAATCTATAGTATAGGTTTTGATACTGAGAGGACCTCCCAATAAATTTCCTCTAAGCAAATTGCCATTTCAGGGTGTAGGACTATAGGAAATAATGTCTATTTGTTATTCATTTAGAATACGTAAATAATTCATTCATGTCCTGTGATTCAATTAATGATTGCTTATCTTATAATATTTTCTTATAATTTAACGGACTTGAATTACACATTATTACTTAGCAAAATTAGACAATATATATACCTTTTATGTGTACTCATGATGGTGTTCATAACATGAATCCTGGTTTTTACCCATTTAATATTTTTTGTTGTTTGACAATATGACACATACTATTTCCTGTGTTATATAATAATTTCATAATCATGATTAAAAACACTATATATCTGTTCAAAAATTTTTATAACTGTTAATTTATACTTAAAAGATTCAAAAGTGGATAAATCTTCTTTTAAAACAATTTTATGGGAGAATACAAAAAAATTCCTCAAAGATGTTAAGTGCAGAAGATCTGGTCTGCTCTTTCTCTTTGAGAGAATGTGTCTAAAGAAATGAGCAGAATAAGCAGGATGTGCCCAGTAACATCAGTAACCTAATCACACAGATAATCATAACTTGATATGACCCAGAGGGATGGCACAGGAGATATAATACCATATATCTTCATTATAATTTTGACATATGAGGTGAAATAAAAGAATTAAAAAGAGACCTAGTTGTCTGAGAAGCATAGTTTTGCTCTGAACATGAAAGAAATATAATCCACAGAGGAAATTTATATTGAATTAACATATTGAGTAAGTCAAATCTGACACCTTATAGCATTAGGACAAAGGGTAGAAAATGATCACTAGAAAAAATTTAAAACACAGTATTTTGTATTCTCTGATGTTTCTGAGCCTAAGGAGTAATGATTATGTAAAATGCATCTGATAACAAATATTCATAATTAACATTGTAGTGTAATTAGGTACCCCTAGACTTTAAATTCCATTATCCCAATGATCAACAGATTTTTGTGTGATTTCTTGCTTGAAGATAGGTCAAAGAGGGACACCTGGGTGGCTCAGTCGTTAAGCAGCTGCCTTCAGCTGGGGTCATGATCCCAGGATCCTGGGATCTAGCCCCACATCAGGCTCCCTTCTCAGTGGGGAGCCTGCTTTTCCCTCTGCCTGCTGCTCTCCCTGCTTGTGCTCACTTGCTCTTTCTCTGACCAAAAAAAAAAAAAAAAAGAAAGAAAGAAAAAAACTGATTCTTTAAAAAAAAAAAAAAATAGGTAAAAGAATGTCTGAGAGTTCACCCTTTAGGCCACCCTTTTCTAACTGCACTCTTCAATCTTACCAGTCACCTGGAAAAAACGTATTATGCTTCTCACAAGTAGGTCTGGCCAAATGAGTAAAAATATCTCAAGCACTTCTTAGCCATCAAAATGTTCACTCAAAATCCACACCACGAATGAGGATCTTAGACAAAGCTCAGCCCAGTGTATCAGACCTCAAATGTAACAAAATTCACCATTCCAAATCAATTGCATTAGAAAACCAAAAAAGAGAGAAAAAGCAGAGATAAATGTTACATTGGTCTCTGAAACATTTTTTTAAATTCTTCAATGAATACATTGAACTAATAAAAAATAATCCCTTAAGCATTTATCATAAAATCAGTTTTCATCTGAATTGATTTTTCTCATGGTATAATGGTTTCAAAACATTTAGAGGTGCCTCTTTTAAAATTTTTTTAAAATATGGAACACTTCACAAATTTGCATGTCATGGTTGCACAGACACCATGCTAATCTCTCTATCTTTCCAATTTTAGTATTGTACTGCTAAAGCAAGTATAATATTCTCTTTGTAATATAAATCTCTATATACTGTGTGGAAAGACTAAAAACAAAAACACTTGTAGAAAGTTTTTTATGTATATCTTAACATTTTAAGTAATTTTTATTTTGATCATTTTAGCAGAGAGAAAAAGTTGACCACCAAATTAGTTGAGCTTTAAATATCAGACTAGAAATTGATTCCTTAAGTAGTCTTTATGGTAACTTTCAGTTTGATATTATTTTAAAGACTGAAGACTGCAACATAGAAGTATAGAACATATACCTGATATACAGAAAGCTAAGATATGCTGGAAGAAAGAGACTAAAATAAGTCACCAATACACATATCATTAAACAGATTATGAGTCTATAATGCCACCTACTTTACAAGTAGGTTAAAAAGTATGGTTTTGGTTTTCAAAAAATATGGGTAATAGGTATTGTACAGGATGTTTACTTCACAGAGCAAATAAGAAATATTCAAGTTATATTACTAAATGTATTACTGTTAAGCATCTTGAAATTAAGATGTTGCCTAATATTCTGAAATAGTAAAATGTAAGAAAGTAAAAGAGTTATTATTCAAATGATAATAGTGCTAAATTTTTAGAAGGATATAGAATTTATTAATGCTTTAGTGTCATCAAAAAGTATGTATTTGCTCCCCAAATATTTCCTAATACATACAGAGATACCAAGGCTTTACTTTGCAGGAATTCGTTACAATAATATCTAAAATAGGACACTCCAACTCATTTTTGAGCTGGCAAATGATAGGTTATATTTGGTTTAAAAAAAAAAAAGTGGGGGCGCCTGGGTGGATCAGTGGGTTAAAGCGTCTGCCTTCGGCTCAGGTCATGATCCCAGGGTCCTGGGATTGAGGCCCCCCATCAGGCCCTGTACTCAGCAGGGAGCCTGCTTCCTCCTCTCTCTCTGCCTGCCTCTCTGCCTACTTGTGATCTCTGTCAAATAAATAAAATTTTAAAAAAAAAAGTGTGTGGAAGGTGGGGGAAGTGGATACCAAAAAAGGGGAGCTTATTAAGAGTACTTGCATTATTTTAAATACTATTTAGTATGAGGGAACAATTCCTGTTTCTGAATACTACACATCTAGAGAATATGACACAAGCTAGAAAATAACATCTGTCTCATACTTGACACAATATACTTGGTCTTCATGTACATGTAACTCAATCCCCCATAAAAACCTCTTAGTTGTACCAATAAATCCCTCTCCTAAATTCAGTTCACTTCTCCAATTCCACCACCACAAATTGACCTAATTCAAATCTCATCTGGACTACTGAATGATTTCATAAAAGACCTCCACAAATTTACTGTTTCCTCTTCATCTCTACCAATAAATTAAAATCTATTTAAAAATCAACACTCAGACTAAAAACTATTATTCTTTTTTTTGGAATTTTTCCTACTTTATTCTTTTTTTATTAGAAACAGTTTTAGATAGTCTAACTTCACTGCATTTCCAAATACATTTTAGAATAAAAACTATTATTCTTTATGTTATCTATAACATCTACATTCTTTCATGCTCATTTTTGTCATAGGAACATTTTACATGCCATTTTGGTGTGGGATTTTGTCTGTTTCATTACTCATTTTTTGGAGTTAGAAAGATTATCAAGCATATGCCAAAACTCAATAAACCTTTTCTGAAAGAATATTAGGAGAACTTAGAACACAAATCAATGAAATTGAACACATAAAATCAATAGAGACAAATAAAAAAAATCAAAGTCTGGTTCTTTGAAAAGATGAGTAAAATCTGTAAGGCTCTAGCCAGGGTAACTTAGAAGACAGATAGTACACAACTGCTAATATCAGTAAGGAAAGAAGAGACATCACTACAGATTCCATAGAAATTAAAAGGGCAATAAATAAATACTGTAAACTCTATGCCCATAAATGTAATAACTTAGATGAAAGGGACCAATTCCTTGCAAGACACAATTAGTCAAAATTCACACAAGAACAATCTGAATATGCCTGAACAAATCTCTTTTACAAGCTCTTTCTTATCTATTAAACAAATTGAACAAACAGTAAGTAAACTTCTAAAATAGAAAGCACCAGACCCAGATGAGTTCACTGGTGAACTTTTTTGCTTTGTTTTGGTTTGTTTTTTTAAAGATTTTATTTATTTATTTGACAGACAGAGATCACAAGTAGGCAGAGAGGCAGGCGGGGGGTGTGAGGGTGGGGGTGAAGGCTCCCTGCTGAGCAGAGCACCGATGAAGAGCTCTATCCCAGGATCCCAAGATCATGACCCAAGTCAAAGGCAGAGGCTTTAACCCACTGAGCCACCCAGGCACCCCTCATTGGTGAATTTTACCTGACATTTAAGGAAGAAATTATACCTATTCTCTACAATTTGCTCCAGAAAGATAGAAGAAACAGGAATAGTTCCTAACTAATTTTATGAGACCAGACCAAAACCAGATAAATATATTACAAGAAAACTACAGACCAGTATCTCTCATGAACACAGATAAAAGTTTCTCAACAAAATATTAACAAATCAAATTCAGCAAAGTATGAAGAATTATATACCATGACCAAGTGGGATTTAAATGAATCTAGACAAAGATTTTACACTCTTCACCAAAACTAACTCAAAATGGATCACAGACCTAAATATAACATGTGAAACTATGAAACTGTTGGAAGATAACATAGGAGAAAAACAAATGACTTTAGGTATTTTTAGATACAACACAAAATGTATGATCAATAAAAGAAATAATTGAAACGCTGGACTTCATTAACATTAAAAACTCTTTTGTAAAAGACAATAGAGTATTAAAAGAAAAGTCACAGAAGAAAGTATTTGAAAACAAAATCTGATAAAGCACTGTAATCTAAAATATATAAAGAACTCTTAAAACTCCTCCTTTAGAAAACAAGCAACCCAATCATGTTCACTACAGCATTATCCACAATAGCCAAGACATAAACGATTTAAGCATCTGATGATGAATGAATAAAGAAATTGTAATTATACACAGACATATACAAGCACTGGGATATTTTTCAGCCTTAAAAATGAAAATTATCTTGTCATTGACAATAACATGGATGAACCCGGGGAATGTTTTTCTAAATGAAATAAGCAGACACATTAAGAAAAATACCACATGAATTCACCTATACCCAAAATCTAACAAACTGAAATTCATAGAAACAAAGTAAAACACTGATCTCTATGCATAGGGAGGTGTGGGAACAGGGACATGTTAGTCAAAATGTACAAAGTTGCTATTATATAGGACAAATAAGTTCTAGAGATCCAGTGGGCAGCTGATAAGTATAGTTAATATTGAATTATATACTAGAAATTTGCTAGAAGTAGATTTCAGATGATCTTATCATACACACACACACACACACAAACTATGTGAGGAAAGGAATATGTTAATTAGCTTGACTATAGTATTCATTTCACTATGTATATCAACACATTGTATTATACACTTTGAATTTTATTTTTAAAAAGGAATATTACACAATTTAAAAATTAGCTGAAGATCTTTACAGACATCTCATCAAGGAAGACATATAGATGGCAAATAAGTGCACAAAAATATGGTCTATGTCATGTCATCTGGGTAATGCAAATTAAAACAAAGATACCATCACAGACTTATTACAATGACCAAAAGCCAGAACACTGACAACACCAAAAGCTGGCAAGTATGTGGGACAACAGGAATTCTCTTACATTGTCAGTAGGAATGAAAAATGGTAAAGATACTTTGGAAGACAATTTGGCTGTTTCTTGGAAACTTACTCTTATCGTAGGATCTAACAGTTGGGCTTTTTGGTATTTACCAAAGAGTCACCAACTAATGTCCCCACAAAAAACTGCACGCACGGATGTTTACAGCAGCCTTATTCATAATTGCCAAAGTGTGGAAGCAACCAAAATACCCTGCAGTAGGTGTATGAATAAATAAACTTTGGTAATCTGTACAATGGAATATTATTCAGCTCTTTAAAAATGAGCTATCAATCCACTGAAAAACATGGAGAAAGTTTAAAACATCTATTATTAATTGAACGAAGCCAATCAGAAAAGGCTACATACTGCATGCTTCTAACTGTATGACATTCTGGAAAAGGCAAAACTATGTAGACAGTAAAATGATCAGTAGTTTCCAGATATTAGGAGGGAGGAAGGGATCAATTAGTCAAACAGAGGATTTTTAGGGCATTGAAATTACTCTGCACGATATTATGAGTAGGTATTATATACATTTGTCCAAACCCATGGAATGTACAACACCAACAATGAACCCTAATATAAATTAGACTGTGTGATAATGATTTGTCAATGCATCAATTATAACAAGTCTATCACTTAGATGAGGAATGTTGATAATGGGGGAGACTATGCATAAGTGGGAGGCAGGGGACTTATGAAAAAAATCTTTGTGCCTTCTACTCAGTTTTGCTTTGAAACTAAAACAGCTAAAAAAAAAAAAAACTAACGTATATTTTCACTATATCTGTATCTTTGGGGTAATTACTCAGTAGTGCAATTAAAGAGTCATAGGGTAGCTCTATTTTTATTTTTTTGAGGAATCTACACACTGTTATCCAAAGTGGCTGCACCAACTTACTTTCCCACCAACAGTGTAAGAGGGTTCCCCTTTCTCTACATCCTCTCCAACATCTGTTGTTTCCTGTGCTGTTAATTTTGGCCATTCTACCTGGTATAAGGTTAGTATCTCAATGTGGTTTTGATTTTACTTTCCCTGATGGCTAATGATGATGAACATTTTTTCATGTGTCTGCTAGCCATTTGTATGTCTTCTTTGGAGAAATGTCTGTTCATGTCTTCCGCCCATTTTTTGACATGATTATCTGTTTTTTAGGTGTTGAGTTTGAGGAGCTCTTTATAGATCTTGAACTGGGGGAAATTGGAGGGGGAGATGAACCATGAGAGACTGTGGGCTCTGAGAAAAAAACTGAGGGTTTTGGAGGGGAGGGGGATG